CCTTATAGAGAATGAGAAGTAACCATGGGAACGGATAGCGTATCCTGCTAATATGGCGGCGCCTTCCCGAAATGCAATGCAGAGTGAAAAGATCGTGACGTAACTCCTCATTCTCTATAGGTGAGTAACACCGTGTCTACAACAGCTAAAGTCTGCCTACACTGGGAGCGATCAAACGATCGTTGAAAACCATTTGAAATTTGTGTCAGCAGGTCATAAATAGAACCCGGCAGCAGTTTTCTGTCGGGATTTGTTGCACCGCGCCGCTCACGTCCGATGTAGACACGGTGTAACATTGGTTTTGCTTTGTTTCACAGAACTAATCGTTGCCTGGGTTGCGTACGTATATGTGGGGCGGAGCTATCAGAATAGAGGCAAGACCCTTTTGGGGTAGGGGCGTGTTTGTTTTGGTGATTTCAAATATCAACATTGGCTACCAGAAATCACTTACTCTGCCTTTAAGCAGCTCAACTGTTTTCAACATGGATAATAATATTGAACATTGATAATATTACATTGATTTCTGAAGGATCATGTGACACTGAAGACTGGAGTAACGGCTGCTGAAAATTCAGCTTTGTATCACAGGAATAAATGACATTTTAAAATACTATTATAAATAGTATTTTAAAATCTTTTTACTGTATTTTGGATCAAATAAATGGAGCCTTGGTGAGAATAAGAGGCTTTTTTCAAAGACATTAAAAAAATCTTACCAACCCCAAAATTTTTCATGGCAGAGTAGAATTTCAAGTAGGAAACTTCCATTTTGTGAACATTTTGAATGCTTAACTAGATTTTTTTTTAGTTAATGAAGCTAATTTGTATTTCTACAATATTACTATTTTATAAGGAAATAAATAGGTGTTTTTTCACGGTAACCACTGAGCATATGGGTAAAATATGCAAAAAGTACGGCATTACTCACATAGTACTGGACGCCAGGTTGGTGTCCTCATGCTTGAGTTTTCCATCCAGCGCCAGACCTCTCTTCTCTCGATTGTTATTGAGAGTGGGTGTGAGTGTGTACACTTTACAAAAAGTAGAGCTGGATGCCACCTGATCGCTGCAGGACACAGAGATGGAACGGATACACATCGTTAACCATGTACACATTATTACAAAGTCAGCAAACAGACCAAAGAAGATGACATGTTTTTTGTGTCATTTTTGGGCAGGTTTGTTTTCTCAATGACGTCTCAATGATAAATCTTGAATAAAAGACAACTAAAAGTTCAGATAAAGAATGATTTCTATAGTCTAAATAAAACACTTACTCTGCCTCTATCTGAGCCACTGGACATTTGTACTGTGCTGTACTGAAGAGACAGATATCAGCATACTGTCGTACTGCAGAGACACAAATGTAAACAGTACAGTCAGTGGTAATACCAGCTCATAGATGATGAGAGTGATATGAAAATAATGTCAAACAGCAATAGGAGAACTGTTGGCTGTAACTCACCTGATATTTTAACCCTTTTCACAGTCTTGGTTGAGTTATTGGTGACATGGACATTAACACTGATGGGCTCCCCATGGTAATAGAGCTGGGTGAGAAAATCAAGGTTAATTATTTATTACTAGCACTGATCTGTGTTAACTCTCGTGATGCATTAAAATCTGTATATATTTTCGCATGTCCATTTGGACCCGAAGAATCGTTGAACAGTCATAAACTGTATTGTTTCTGATCAGCAACTTCTCTTTCATGAGTGAATGTGAATGAAATTCTGAATGACTGAAAGATAGACGATAGATAGATAGAGGCTATATTTTATATTTATATATTTTATAAAAGTTTTTTGACACTAATATAACTTCATAGATAATTTAACAAAATGTATTTTTGACACCTAATGTTACTCCAAACATGTAACATTTTTAATGGTTATATCTTGTAAAAAGTAATTATAAAAAATCTGAAAAAATAAATACATTTTGTGTATTTTGAGAGTCTTGAAGCACGTGTGAAGTTTCATTCCCTTACTAAAAACAATGCGGTTTTTAGAAATGTTTATTTCTCTCTGTATTGATCTCTACCAGGTCAATACACACCCGAATGCATTATGAGGGTTAAACAGTATGATACCTCTTTATCTAGTGAAGCCTCCAGGTGTAAAGACCGGTCTGACATGAGGAAACTCCTCGTCATCTCCACCATCGGCTGTGGGCCGGGTTTCTCAGGAGCATACTGAACTTTACGTATCACTAGTCGCACTGAATTCCTGTGGAGGAAGAAATAAGCTTCAAATAAGATCTAAACTCTTTTTAACAATGAAAATAAACGATTATGGGCAGGAAATTGTAAATAATCAAACCTTTTGTGGTTCTTCTCTTCCATCGTTTTGGCACAGAAAGCCCTGATCTCAAAATCCACACCACAGGCCTGGAGTGAGAAAGACGGAGATGAACAAAGGACAAGTTCGCCCAAGCTTCACAAACAGGGTGTGTGCAAAACAGGGTGACAAATCTAAAGGTGTTAGATGGGGTTTGTTGTGTTAAAATGAGCCACGTATGAGTGATAATACCTTTCCTGTGTCCTCAGGCCCGGGCTGCAGAGTAACAGAGCATGGCAAGTTTTGTGGTATCTGAAAAACAATAGAATATTTCAACTTAAGATTCTGATCAAGTACTTCCCATTTTTTTTTTTTTTTTAAAGGTACATTAAAGTTAACGTCTGATACCAAACCAATAATTATTTTCATGTTATAGCTGATAAATGGCCAATATTATAAATTCATACTATTTTGTCTTAATAAATAACAAAAATAATACACAAAAAAATACATTCATAAAATAAGAATTAAAAACAAATACTAAAAAATAATATTTTAAATGCAATTTAAATGCTACAAGTGAATTTAAGCATCACAACGCAATCATTTAAAAGACTTTAAAAAAAAACTCACAGTGAAATGAAAAGGATAAGCATTCTGGCCCATTTTCTTCAAAAGCCTCTCCTGCAGACGACTGTGGGGCTTAGATTCCTCTGGAATGGGAGGATAGGCCTGAAAAGTGTAGATGTAAAGATCTTTTCGGAAGGAAAGTCCTAGAACGTCAAGGTCCTCACGGCCATACCGGAACGCACAGGTTAAAGTCACAAATACTGGAGGAAAAACAAATAAAGTTTACACCAGAAGTGAGACATCATTTGCATATTATGTTAAATAAGTTGTCATAAAGTATGGAAAAACGTTCTATATGTGATAAGCTTTCCAAATTCATCAACTGGAAAACCAAACAGTCAGGATGCTCGATATATATGTATCATATAATTTAATTGTGCATGCTCATTTCCTTGTATTTACATTGCCTTTGCAATCATATAATGCTCTCTTGAATCTTTAAAAAGTAATAATTTAATAACACTGTTTTAGACAACAAATATCAAAATGAATATCCATTTTTCATGTTGTACTTCATAATGTTGAAATGCAGAAATTCTAGCATCTAATTTATTGATTTTAATTTTTAGTGTTTTTGTTTATTATTTTATTATTTAGACAAAATAATATGCAATTATAGTAACTGCAGTTTACTGGTTACCAGCCATTATATGAAAATAATTATTGACTTTTCGGTATTGTCCAGAATTGTCATTTCAACGCATTCATACCAAATAACAAAGATCCTTTCAAGCTCACCTTTTCTATCTTTGAGATATTCAGGGTCGACCAGAATCACACCATCTGTAGCAGAAGTAGAATATGATTTATGTCAGTGAATTTAACTATTAGACTTTCACTTCTCCATTAAAATTCAATTAAACTGTTTATCTGAAACCACTGACCAACAGGGTCCACATGATCTAGATGGTCCACAAAATCTCTTTTCCCCAAATATACTGTAAGCTGTGAAAACAGACAGGGTTGTAACTAACGTTACAACTTGTGGAAACCAAACCTGTGATGATATATAAAAATCTTACCTTGCAATTTGGACTGGTCTTCTTGAATACCCTTTAGAATAAGAGAAATGAGCGCATGAATAATCACAGGCATTATCAAAGCTGATCGTTTGTAAATGTAGGTGGGAACATTTTAAAGTGAAGCAGATGGCAAGAGCAAACAAACGGTGGAGAGCAGCAAATGGCATGCTGGGAGAACTAGATTGCTTGCAAAGCCCAGTATTACTACAATCATGCTGACAATATTAATAATGCTAAGTTTCATTAAATAAGCAGTAAGAGCAGTATGAGGATGTGGGCAGCTGTTGTTAGCTGCCAGGCTATGCGACATGAATGCTAAAGGATGAACGGACTTCTAATGAAGCCTTTGGAAACGTTTAATACATATTTCTAACAAATGTATATAGACAAAACATATTCAATATAATAAACTTGCACATTAAGTGCTGTTTCTCCATCATGCTCAGTCAGGTTATACATCCACGTCCATTTAAAATTCAGCTAGTATTAGCTTTCCTAATGTTCGCATTATAATTTCAAAAATAATGATACCAAACAAAATTAATTTGAGGTCTAAAGATTTAAAAACAAATACTTACCGGGTGCCTGCCTTGTCCCCCATAATGAGGGAGAATTTGGCCGTGGGAATTTGTGGAGGAAAACACACAGCTACGGCACACAGAGTGTAAACAGCAGCTCCTGTTGGTGTTCAATCGTTCCCTGGTAGCTGGCGGTGGGCGGAGCTACTGGGTCACGTGATCTGCCACCCACAAAAGCCAAGTAGAGTGATTCAACAAACCAAGTGGCGGTTGAGAGATTGTACAAGTAAGCAAAGAAATACATTATTTATTTAACTTTTAACCTCCTGAGACCTTCTGTCCGCAGTAGAGGACATTATATTTTAGTGAATTTCTCTGAGAAATTACATGTCACAGTTTTAAGTCTGGATGTCCTGTACAGAGCACATTCAGGGCTTTTCAGAGATACCAAATGTTTGGAAGTTTCACCATGACCGCTCCCTCTCTTAAAAATGGCTGACATTAATTTAGTGATCAAATTTAACACTCTTATGGAAATATTATAATATTTAGTAATTTATCATTTAAATCTCATTTTTAAACTGTATGTCATAAATCAACATCTCAGAAAAATGTTATGGGGTTTCAAATCAAAATATGAGACACAACAAATGAATAGGGAAATAAATGATATTTCAGTATTCCTATGAAATATTAGATATTATTACTCCCAATTATTACTCCCATTATAACACTTCTTTTTTCATGTTGCCCCAATAACACATTAATATGCAAATTAGATACAATATATGCATTGTATATAATCGGTAAACCCTCTTATGGCCATTTTACACACATGTTGCATAAAGCAAAATGGTATATCAAATTACCCTGTTATATCTATCATAACATAGTTGAGAATCATCTTAATACAAAGTTTGGTTTTGCCTATTCATGTTCATTCATGTCTTTTTATTTTTTAATTGAGTCCTGGTGTCCTCTACAGAGGACATAGCATAACATATGAATAAAATATAATTTTTCTTATGCTCTAAACAATGTAATGACGTGAAAAAAAATACTCAATTCACAAAACTTTTTTTTCTGGGTCTCAGGAGTTTAATAAATATTTTTAATAATAACACTGAATAATCGCATCTATTTATTTTTTATTAATTATATTAAGTGTTTTATTTATGTATTAATTATATTAAATTATTAATTATATGTACTATGCACTAATTAATATATATAGTACAATATAATTATAGTATAATACTATATATTATTTATATAAGTCACACAGTATCTTTTTTCCCAAACTAAAACGTACAGCATAGTTCATGTGAGAATAGTGAGGTACTAGAGCTCATCCGTGCTTTGATAGCACAGGGGGTCAAACTTGACATCTTTTGATGTGCTTCTATCCAGTGGCAGTGTGGGATGACATCAAAGGAGAGATATTTTCTCTGAGAGGTTTTCCCTCTATCCGTCAGTGTAATATCTCCACAGTCCTTGTTTGGGTGGGCCATTTATGTGATAGATGGTTGTTGTTTTTTTTCTTTATAATTATAGTTTGAAGGGAGATGCTTCACAGAACACGGTGAAGGCGTCACAACACACACTGGTTTGAACTAATGAGGGGATTTCTTTTTGCTCTTGTTGTCAGACTCAGCTGCATTTTGTGTCTACATGGGATGACTGGACCAAAGAGAGAAACAAACCATCCACCCTTTCACCATAAACTATGAAATCAAAAATCCATGCTTTGGTAAATCATAATTATGAGATGAAAAAGTCTACATTATGAGATTGTAAGTCATAAGTACAATATAAAGTTGAAATTGTGACATACTAAGTCATAATTATGGCATAAAAAGATACGATTGACAGTCAAAAATGATATCAAAGTTTAAATTAAAACAAAAATGCCATAATCATAAGATAAAAAGTAGAAATGATCACATACTGTCATAATTATGACATACAAAAAAGTTGTATAAATTGCATAAAAAGACAAAATTGACAAAGTTATGAGAAATTATGACAGAAAACACATACTTAAAACAAAAGTTTAAATTATAAGATAAAGTCAAAATTATGTGATGCTAAGTCATAATTATAAGATGAGAAGTCCAAAAGATGTGAAAAAGTAATTGCTGACTTACAAGCTAATTTCAACTTTTTATGTCTTCTAAACATCTAAATCATGAATACACTCTTATACCTGCTTTTTCATCAAGTTTAAATGAAACAAAAAAAGTCAATTCATGTATTTTAAATGTTTATACACCACTTGGCTTATTTTATTTTAATCAAGGGCAGGAATAGACATATAATATGATAATTTTGACTTTTTATTTCATAATGTAACATTTTTGTCATGACTTTTTATGTCATAATTTAAACTTGTTTTTAGCTTCTATAAATCTAAATCATACACTCTTATAACTGCTTGACTGCTTTAACATCAGGTTTTATTGAAAATATGACAAAATAATTAAATGGTTTTTTTTAATAGGTCATTTATACATATTCAATATTTATACACCACTGGGCTTATTTTATTTTAAATAAAGGAACACTATTTTGACAGGCATACTGGACACAATATTGTTATATCTACAAAAAAACTCTAGATTCAGTCTCTCTCAAAAAGAGAGGAATGAAAAATGAAAGGAGCAAAACTGCAAATGTGTTCACATGCATAGATTATTACTTCCCAACAAAATTAAAAAAAAAAAAAAATTTTTTTGTGGCTGTAAGAGGCACACAGCAGTTTGTGCACTGTTCTTTCCATCTGGTTAGGTCAAATCCGTATGGTGTAGGAGTCAGAATGAGTGACATATCGAACCCAACGTTGTGACAGTCCTGTCTGAGTTGGAGCGAGCCGGAGGAAGCGAATCTGAAGGCCGGTGCAGGTTTGTTTGGGCAGTTCGAATGACATACTGACAGGGCCGACCTCCAGCAAAGAGGCGGAGCTTAGACCAGGAACATCCACCTGTGGGATCAGAATATACATCATCAGTGACTGATGACAATTTGCGTCAAGCAAATGACCATATAATAACATAACCTTGAATAGTGCTGACAACTGCGCTCCTCCTGGGAATCGTGGGATCTCCCAGAGCAGGGCTTTGTTCTTCGGCTGCAGTTCAGCGGTCTGGTCAGGACTACTGAGCTCCTGAGACATACTGTACAGAATAGAGAGGGAAACAGGGGTTATAGATGGTCCATAAGACTAATAACACTAATAATCATGCTGTTGCATAAAATCTGACCTTACGGAGCCTTTTGGCACAGGAACAGTGATGGAAACATTAAGAGCCGTACTGCAGGAAAAAGTACAGAACAATAGTTGTGATGTAACTATGTACTCATATTGACAAATTTTTTGATTATGTCATTTTAAAGGGGTCATATGATGTTGCTAAAAATAACATTATTTTGTGTATTTGGTGTATTGAAATGTGTTTATGTGGTTTAAGGTTAAAAAAAAAACATTTTCTACATACTGTACATTATTGTTTCTCCTCTATGCCCCGCCTTTCTGTAACGTGTCAATTTTTACAAAGCTCATCGTTCTGAAAAGCGAAGTGTGCTGTGATTGGCCAGCTATCCAGTGCGTTGTGATTGGCCGAATACCTCAAGCGTGTGACGGAAATGTTACGCCCCTTACCATATTGTGATGCCGTGACCGGCCGGAGCGACAAGACAAAAACATTAATAGCCATTATAAACGAGGCATTTGTTGCATCCAGTGGGGACATAACTACTGAGCAGTATGTACACTCACCTTTTAGGTGGAAGATCACATCTAAGCTTAAGAAAAATCAACACCCTGCAAAGGCAAATTTATTAAAGCAATAATCCAGGAGAGGATGAGCATTACAGTGATTTTATCACGATCAAGAGGTGTGCATGCAATTTTATAAAGCTACTAATATTGACTAAATAGGGCAATTTATTATTAATGATAAACAGAATAAACTATTATTCCACAAAGTAACATAATTCATTAGTCTGAAGTTCAATCGGTGTTGCTCATGTTGTCTTCAATGTCCAACTCTCAATAAAAAAATTAATGACTGAATTTAAATAAAATTTATATTAAATTTAAATGAAATTTTATTTAACATTAAATTAATTTAAAATTAAGTTTAAATTTGAGGGATGTAAGGATTCTTCGTAGCAACCTGTGTGTGTTTCTTCAAGACAGCAACCATACATTTGCATTGTTTTATTTTCTTTCTTTTATATTCATTCATCCTTCATTCATGTATAATAATCATTTAATCATTCCATTTAAACAAATAATCATTTATAATAATAATTTAACCATTTTATTGATTTTTTCATTGATCAGTTATATATATATATAAGCACACATGAAACATGCACAACTAAGATTATTCAATAAACTCTTTTTTTTTTATTACTTCATCTCCTGCTTTCTGCTTTCCTGGCTTTCTCAGTCTGTCTCTTAGGCTGATAGAGGACAGTTAATACAGTTTTGGGTACTAGACAAAAAGCAGTAAAACACTAATTTTGGGTGCCAGACAAGGCTTGGTGTTTAACAGGTTTTGGGTAACAGGCAAAAAAGGTATTTTCTGACAGTATCCAGTGTCCAGGGGTTGGATCTACAATAATATTCCTGACATTGAGGCTCAACCTAACATTTTTGGCATGGTCAGCATATGTCGGCACAATCTAACAAATTTATACATTATACATAAAAAGACAAAGTTATGCATAAATACGTTTACAAACCTGTTGACATAATCCTTCTGTACAGAGGGGAATAACTGAAATGGTGGTGCACATGGCAGCTCATCACACAACTGATACTGCATCACTGTTTGCTGAAGAAAAAAACAACAACATCAGTTATCCATGCAGAAATTATTTTAAAGTGCATTTCTGTGAGTGTGGCAGCAGTTTACCTCTCCTTGGCTCGGACAAACTTTCAATATTCTGAAAGTATCAAATTCATCCAATTTAACAGCCTGGTGGAATCTACATTCATCTACACGAACAGCTGAACTATAGCCTGAAGAACAGAAGGAAACAGACTTAATCACAGCTGTAATTAAAGATATACAGCCTCTAGAGATATGTGTATTGATCAGTGTTGCATACTCAACCTTTCAGCTGGGACTTTCCAATACTGAGCTCTTCATTCAGTCCAATCCGCATCTCTACAGGATGAACAAAAGAAATACACAACCATAGAATATACAT